CAGACAGGTGTGCAGTCAAATCTGTGAACTCCTATCAGTGGAAATCTCGAAGGTAAAGATTTGACGTGTCCAGCAAAGGTTATTTTTCTCCAGTAGATGGTTACAGAATGTTAAACCAGGTTTATGGCATACACCAACTTCTTCACATCAGCTTGTTGATGGGATGAGTTGGTGCACACACCTAGCTAGTGCTGGTATATTGTACATGAATGTCTAAACAGCTCCTTTCTGTCGCTGATAACATGGCTCAACAACAAATACAGCACACTGCATAAAACAAGATGGCAAGCAAACATGGACTAGAGTTAACACCCTCTGTGGAGCTCTCTCAGTGTGAAGTGTAATCTTCAGCATGCTAGCATCAACAACCACGCCCATCTGGAGCTATTTCTATTTGAGAAGCTAGTGTCAGCAACGATTGCAATTATGTCCTTTTTCAGTAATCATTTTTCTAAACATTACGACACAGTTTACAGAACCTCACCCACACACCCACACTCACAGTCTATCTCTCTCGCTCTTTCTCTCTCTCTCTCTCTCTCTCTCTCTCTCTCACACAAACACATCCACACACACACACGCGCGCACACGAGAGGGACATGACGATGCACAAAGCACCAAATGTCATTTACACACACAAAACTCCATCCCATAATATCTTGCCAGCAACACTGTTCTCATTTTGTTCTCATTTTGTTCTCATTTTGTTCTCACATTGTTCTCATTTTGTTCTCACATTGTTCTCATTTTGTTCTCACATTGTTCTCACACGGTTCTCACATTGTTCTCATTTTGTTCTCACATTGTTCTCATTTTGTTCTCACATTGTTCTCATTTTGTTCTCACATTGTTCTCATTTTGTTCTCACATTGTTTTCATTTTGTTCTCACATTGTTCTCATTTTGTTCTCACATTGTTCTCACACGGTTCTCACATTGTTCTCATTTTGTTCTCACATTGTTCTCATTTTGTTCTCACATTGTTCTCATTTTGTTCTCACATTGTTCTCACACGGTTCTCACATTGTTCTCATTTTGTTCTCACATTGTTCTCATTTTGTTCTCCTTTTGTTCTCACATTGTTCTCACACGGGTCTCACATTGTTCTCATTTTGTTCTCACATTGTTCTCATTTTGTTCTCACATTGTTCTCATTTTGTTCTCACATTGTTCTCATTTTGTTCTCACATTGTTCTCACACGGGTCTCACATTGTTCTCATTTTGTTCTCACATTGTTCTCATTTTGTTCTCACATTGTTCTCATTTTGTTCTCACATTGTTCTCATTTTGTTCTCACATTGTTCTCACACGGGTCTCACATTGTTCTCATTTTTTCTCACATTGTTCTCATTTTGTTCTCACATTGTTCTCATTTTGTTCTCACATTGTTCTCATTTTGTTCTCACATTGTTCTCATTTTTTTCTCACATTGTTCTCATTTTGTTCTCACATTGTTCTCATTTTGTTCTCACATTGTTCTCACACGGGTCTCACATTGTTCTCATTTTGTTCTCACATTGTTCTCATTTTGTTCTCACATTGTTCTCATTTTGTTCTCACATTGTTCTCATTTTGTTCTCACATTGTTCTCATTTTGTTCTCACATTGTTCTCATTTTGTTCTCACATTGTTCTCATTTTGTTCTCACATTGTTCTCACACGGTTCTCACATTGTTCTCATTTTGTTCTCACATTGTTCTCATTTTGTTGACAATCTTTGCATTAGGCAATTAGAAACTTAAAATCAATAACTTATAATCAACGAATCACATAATGACAGTAACAATGTGATATAATTAACAAATCACATAATGACATCAACTATGTGATTTAATCAACATATCATATAATGTCTTTAAATATGTGATATGATCAACAAATCCCATAATGACTAACTATGTGGTATGATCAACAAATCACATAATGACTCTAACTATGTTTTATGATCAACAAATCACATAATGACATCAACTATGTGATATGATCAACAAATCACATAATGACTTTAACTATGTGATATGATCAACAAATTATGTAATGACTTAAACTATGTGATATGATCAACAAATCACATAATGACTTTAACTATGTGATATGATCAACATATCACATAATGACTTTAACCATGTGATATGATCAACAAATCACATAATGACTCTAACTATGTGATATGATCAACAAATCACATAAGGACTCTAACTATGTGGTATGATCAACAAATCACATAATGACTTTAACCATGTGATATGATCAACAAATCACATAATGACTCTAACTATGTGATATGATCAACAAATCACATAATGACTCTAACTATGTGATATGATCAACAAATCACATAATGACTCTAACTATGTGGTATGATCAACAAATAACATAAGGACTCTAACTGTGTAGTATGATCAACAGTAGGTGGTACCTGATACTCCTCGTGGATCTTATTTTCATCCAGACACATCCTGGAGAGCTGGATCACGTTGAGCGGGTTCGAGGGATCCAGCTGCGAGAGAACGTCACAACCAAGAGCACAATGTTGGATTACATACACCAGAGAACGTCACACACAAGAGCACAATGTTGGATTACATATACCAGAGAACGTCACACACAAGAGCACAATGTTGGATTACATATATCAGAGAACGTCACACAGAAGAGCACAATGTTGGATTACATATACTAGAGAACGTCACACACAAGAGCACAATGTTGGATTACATATACCAGAGAACGTCACACACAAGAGCACAATGTTGGATTACATACACCAGAGAATGTCACACACAAGAGCACAAGGTTGGATTACATATATCAGAGAACGTCACACACAAGAGCACAATGTTGGATTACATATATCAGAGAACGTCACACAGAAGAGCACAATGTTGGATTACATATACCAGAGAACGTCACACACAAGAGCACAATGTTGGATTACATATATCAGAGAACGTCACACAGAAGAGCACAATGTTGGATTACATACACCAGAGAACGTCACACACAAGAGCACAATGTTGGATTACATATACCAGAGAACGTCACACACAAGAGCACAATGTTGGATTACATATACCAGAGAACGTCACACACAAGAGCACAATGTTGGATTACATACACCAGAGAACGTCACACACAAGAGCACAATGTTGGATTACATATACCAGAGAACGTCACACACAAGAGCACAATGTTGGATTACATACACCAGAGAACGTCACACACAAGAGCACAATGTTGGATTACATATACCAGAGAACGTCACACAGAAGAGCACAATGTTTGGATTATGTATACCAGAGAACGTCACACAGAAGAGCACAATGTTGGATTACATATACCAGAGAACGTCACACAGAAGGGCGCAATGTTGGATTACATATATAAGAGAACGTCACACAGAAGAGCACAATGTTGGATTATATATACCAGAGAACGTCACACAGAAGGGCGCAATGTTGGATTACATATATCAGAGAACGTCACACAGAAGAGCACAATGTTGGATTACATATACCAGAGAACGTCACACACAAGAGCACAATGTTGGATTACATATATCAGAGAACGTCACACAGAAGAGCACAATGTTGGATTACATACACCAGAGAACGTCACACACAAGAGCACAATGTTAAATTACATATACCAGAGAACGTCACACACAAGAGCACAATGTTGGATTACATATACCAGAGACGTCACACACACAAGAGCACAATGTTGGATTACATACACCAGAGAACGTCACACACAAGAGCACAATGTTGGATTACATATACCAGAGAACGTCACACACAAGAGCACAATGTTGGATTACATACACCAGAGAACGTCACACACAAGAGCACAATGTTGGATTACATATACCAGAGAACGTCACACAGAAGAGCACAATGTTGGATTATGTATACCAGAGAACGTCACACAGAAGAGCACAATGTTGGATTACATATACCAGAGAACGTCACACAGAAGGGCGCAATGTTGGATTACATATATAAGAGAACGTCACACAGAAGAGCACAATGTTGGATTATATATACCAGAGAACGTCACACAGAAGGGCGCAATGTTGGATTACATATATAAGAGAACGTCACACAGAAGAGCACAATGTTGGATTACATATACCAGAGAACGTCACACAGAAGGGCGCAATGTTGGATTACATATATAAGAGAACGTCACACAGAAGAGCACAATGTTGGATTACATATACCAGAGAACGTCACACAGAAGGGCGCAATGTTGGATTACATATAAAAGAGAACGTCACACAGAAGAGCACAATGTTGGATTACATATACCAGAGAACGTCACACAGAAGGGCGCAATGTTGGATTACATAGACCAGAGAACGTCACACAGAAGAGCACAATGTTGGATTACATATACCAGAGAACGTCACACACAAGAGCACACTGTTGGATTACATATACCAGAGAACGTCACACAGAAGGGCGCAATGTTGGATTACATATATAAGAGAACGTCACACAGAAGAGCACAATGTTGGATTACATACACCAGAGAACGTCACACACAAGAGCACAATGTTGGATTACATGTACCAGGTAATGGCCAGTGAGTGAAATAAGTCTGTGTTCACATGTTCAAGTCTCAAACATTAGAGGGTCATTGACATACACGACATGGACATCCGGCCGGAGATAAGACAGAGAGAATGAGAAGAAGAGACTAAATGAGAGAGAGAGAGTGTGTGTGTGATTGAGACAGAGGGGTGAGAGGGGGAGAAAGAAAGAGACAATGAAACACAATGAGAGAGAAATAGAGGGAGATGGAGTGAAAGAGATAAAGAAGGAAAGAGAGGGGTGAGTTACTAGAGGGATGGGGGAGAGAGAGAGATAAAGTGGGCTATGTGACTAAATGGATGGGCAGAGAGAAGGAGACTGATTAAATCTATATTAATAAAATGTTAATTTTCCGAGTTTGTTAACTATAGACTCAGAAACTACTGAACCGATTGCTTTCAAATTTTCACACAGCGTTGCCTTTGACTCAAAGCGTGGTTTTTTGTCAGAAAATTGTACAAACCACGAATGACATAGCACTAGAAACGGTCAAATCATTATTTGTTTTGTTGCCGGCCCGGATTTGTTTTTAGTTGATTGGCCATTTTTGACTGCTAAGCAGGGCTGCCAATAAGGGCCTATTATATAATTTCATTTCCACCAACTACTTGAGTCTTTGGTAGCATAGTTGTAAATAATCTGCCTGTCATGCGGGTGACCCGCGTTCGATTCCCCGCTAGGTGATATATTTTTTGTGGCCCTCAACTGGCCGTCTGGCAAGTTGTATTGTGGTTTATGACTAGGCTGCGAAATCAACGCATTTGTCAGTTTTTGGGTTTACAGCTAGCTTGCGACAGCGGCGACGTGATGCTCAATGGTCATGTCACGGGTAATCTTTGTTTGCCCTCGAGAGAGCCGTTGCCACGTTGTGTTGTGGTTTACAGCTAGGCTGCGATATCTGACCTAAACTCTTCAGTCTTCGGTAGTATAGTTATAAGTATTCCACCCCTCACGCGGGTGACCGGTGTTTGATTCCCCGCTGGGTGATAATTTTTTTTCCCTTAAAAGGGTGGTTGCTACGTTGTGTTGTGGTTTACAGATAGGCTGCGATATCTGCGCGTTTCGCCCAAAGACATCCGATTTCAGTAAAGTCCCAATTAGCCTCCTCGCGACGCTTCTAGATCAAAAACTATTTGGTGATGTCAGAAACTGTTAACTAAGACGGCTTTCAGTCCAGTTTAGTTCGGGTGAACCCGGATGCTAAGGTCAGTTAAAAATCGTCTTTTCGGAGAGGGAGAGATGACGGTTGCGGGATTTTTTCTCCGCTATTTGTGAGTATACTGTACTTTTTACAGTGCGTCCCATCACTGGTTAGGTGATGAAGTTTTTTTTTCTATGTTGGGGGCAAAATTAAAAATAAACAAGCGGTGGCGACAACATGCGACACTAACTCCTCTGGCTACACAGACATACCCAGACTGTAGTGACAGTTTTTGTTGTTGTTGTGATGGTGGTGGTGGTAGTGGTAGCAGTAGTACTGGTACTGTATGGGTGATGTGGTAGCTGTAATACTGGTCACATTTGCTTCTCTGTACAAATTAATGAAACCCATTTTAGTCTGGGTGGACACGGATGCCAAACTCAATTAGGTTACAATATTTCGTCAGATGATGACTTTCCCATCCTTCGGAGAAGATGTGATTGATGGGGTAAGAGGTGGGGTGGGGGTTGTGGGTGTTGGGGTTGATGCTAGAGGCTGTTAACTGAGAGAGCTTAAAACAATATTTTAAAGTTCTCATTTCTTAACTATTTCTATTTTAATAATTCTTTGAATAGGGAGATATGATTGGGGGAGAGGGAGGGGGGAGGGAGTGGGGTTTATGCCAGAGACAGTTAGCGGAGTTCCTATTTCTCAACTATTTCTAATTTATTACTTTCGCCAGGGATGATTTTTCACTCCTTCGGAGAGGGAGATATCACTGGGTCGAGAGGAGAGAAGATGGGGGGAGGGGAGGGAGGGATGTGATAGACACTGTTAGCTGAGAGCTATTTTCTTTATGTTTCCATTTCACCCTTCTGGGCCACAGCAACGCGTGGCCGGGTACAGCTAGTAAAAAAAAAAATTAAAAAAAAAAAAAAAAAAGATAGGAACAGACTCATGAAGTGAGACGGGAGAGTCAGCACGGAGGAGTGTCGAGCAGTAACACTGAAACTGTTGAATACTGGGTCTGCAACGCCAGCAGTAGTTTGTGAAAACCCTCCATGTTCTAGAACCTTGTTATATCGTTCATACCAGCAAGAGCCTACAGCCGTCACATCAGACAACCTCTTAAATGTGCCAAACCACTTCTAGAACATATTTAGTGTCTCAGATTTGTAGTCGAGTTATGTCCGTCTACCCACATACTTCATACGGCAACGTTTGCCAAAGACGGGAAACATCAAACAGCGACTTGTTGTTGAAGAAACTCTACCATACAAAGACAACAGGAGAGTTCCGCTAGCAGACTGTGTAGTACACACAGTTCAAAGATAAGCTGTGACGTCTGAAACAGACTTGTTTCAGTGTTGTAACAGATCTCCACTGTGACATCCCAGAGGTCAGGTCACTGTCAACCTTTGGAAGAGGTCACTTAAAGATGCTGCAGTCACTGTGACCTGTTGGTGACCTTTTTGAGACGAGACGTTTGGTCCACGTATAAACTCTCACAATCAACTGATAGGACCAAACTTGCTACCAAGAAACATGACCTACATGACAGCATTAACATGGGTAGGCATTTACAGAGGTAAGCATATACAGAGGTACTTGGACTTACACACCACTCTGTGTCGGAACTTTTTGAGATAGGAACTAGTTTTAAATCCCACTGTGACCTCTAGACACGAACCTAATCTGTAAATAGAGTGGTGATGCATTGTGCAGGCGCACGTCTTTGGTATTACTATCTAATATCTATCTGCA